CCCGTGAAACAGGTAACTTGGGGACAGAATGAGGAGACTTTTCACTGCAAGCCTTCTGTATTTTATTTTTGAGTCATGTGAATATGTTGCTATGCAAGGCTCTGAAGCAAGAGAAGGTTCCTTCATTTCAAGGCTAGTATCAGTGAGAATTAAACAGAGGTCTTTGTCATCTATTCCACCATGGTGGCTCTCAGTCTGACAGTGGTGTCTATAGGGCCAGGCATAAAGACCTCCATTCTGTCTGCGCAAATGACCTTTGTGGGCTAAAGGAGACCCTGCATATTTCTGGGCTTGAGTTTCCTTCACCCATATGATGGTTCCTTTTCTGTTCAGACATGTTACTGGTCCTCATTCCTCAAGCAGAAAACCGAGGCCAAGAGGTACCTGGAATAGAGCACACCAGGATCCTGGACTGTCCCCTTCTAGAGTCCCCAAATTCAGACTGTTGCTTCCCCCAACAAAAGGCTGCTTGTACCACCAGCAGCCTGCCAGTAATAACCCCCAATTACAAACCCAGAGCCCAGCAAAGCCTCAATTAGTCTACAAAGGGGCCTGAGGAGGGGCAGGCTGCACTGAGTATAAAACCCACATATGACCTCCATGCACAGTGGGTCACTATGCTCATCCTACCAGGAGGCCTGGTGACAAGCAGTTCTGAGCAGAAGGCTGTTGTCTGTCTGTCCCCACACAACCCTGGTCAGAAGTGCAGCTCCCCATTTCTGGCTCTCTCCCTGTCAGTCCACACATTTTTCTCACATCCCACTTTCCAGAGCAATCCCTCACCTCCTTCTAGAACGTGACCATCCCTGTACAAACATTGCAAAAGGTGCCCAAGTTGAGCTGTGACCGTAGCTTGGTCAAAAAAAGGGTTTGTGGATTCTTCTCTGTGGTACCAGAAACAAAGAGATCCTGGCCCAATCTTCTGCTAATGTTCTGGGAAGAACACCATTAAGTACGGACCCTACTGTCTGACAAGGTTTCCCTGTGTTAAATCCACTCACGGCTTCACAGTGAGTGTACGTGTACAACCATAAGATCCTGGCACTGTATGAGTGTCTGCTCAAAGCCCATGGGCTGCAGCCTGTCAGTCTGTGAGCTTTGCGGAGCAGCAAAACAAGGAAGACTCTAATGCGCACGGCTTGCATGTGTCAAAGGGTATCAGGAACTTGCTCTGAACCCCAGCTTCTCAAAGTTGCCATAGGGACAAACCAGTGGCAGCCCTTTCACCTTTCACAGGCCAAGGGCATCTTAGAAGCAACAGACTGGGGGAGCCAGACCCCAAGGAATAGAGCCAGTGAAACATTCTGTGTCGTGAGATAGCAGGGTCTGCTGGTGTGTAAACAGGCTTCCACTCCGGAAGCCAGCTCAACATGTTTCTACCAAAATGTTCAGAATCTGAACCTGTTATGTGACAGGCGTGCGTGGGGGCATAGGAGGCACCGGGTGTAGGTGAGGCTGGGAGGCAGCTGAAGTGTGGAGAGAGGTGGGAAGGAAAGCACTTGGTAGCCCAAAGCTCCTTCTTAAGCGCGGCAGCCTCCGCTCTCCTGGAGCAGGAGCCCGAAGCTGAGGCTGCTCAGGGTAAAGAGACTTGCGTGGCGGTGCGGGGGCGGGGGGGGGGGGCTGCCTGCGCACAGAGTGACCTGAGCAGTGCTGGGAAAACGCAGCCTGCCTTGAGCCCGCCGCTCTTCTGCCGCTGCTGCAGGAATGTCAATCCTGGAGAGAAGCCTGCGGCTCCATCAGAGCCCAGGGACTTGCTCCCGCCGCCGGAAGCTCTGGACCGCGCAGTGATACTCAGCAGTGAAGGCAGTCCAGTCCGTCGGCAGGTCCCTGGCCCGGCATCTGTCAGCATCTCTCTGGAGACACAATGAGCTGGAGGGCATCAAGTGGCTCCGGAGATACAGCTGCGGACCCCTGGAAAATCGGTGTAGAGAGACTGAAGCTCCATGAGTTTCAGGACTGAGGATCCTAGCGGTGGGAGGTGGACGACGGCCGAAGGTCACTGAATTGATGTTCTGCGTTGCCTAACTGAAATGAGGAAACCTAATGGCCCACAAAATCTCCACAAAACAGGCTTAGAGGACCAGGATCCCACTCCTGCCAGGGCGTGGGCCTTACCCAGCCTGCGTTATCGGGTGGATGGGGTGAGAAGTAAATCAAAGCCACCACAACTTCCTGCAGCACCAGCCCCATTCATGGCTGGCTGGCCACTGCAGACAGGACAGCACCCTCTCCCTAGTCTCCTCCAACCCAAAGCCCTCGCTGCTTACCTCAGACCCAGAAAGTGATCTCCATGGTGCCTGCAATTATATTTCCCAGTCTTCCTATGCTAAACAGCCTTAAGAACACACTTCTTAACACACACATCTAGGGAGAGACTAATTCCAGCCTCTCCTGATGGCACCCTAACCCTAACCCTAACCCTTTCTCCACCTGGGTTTGGGGTGGTATTTCTGCTAAGGACAGCCAGGATGGCTGGACTCCTATTTCTACTCAGAAAATTCTACAGAGGGACTCCTTCCTTCCTACACTCCCAACCCCTGCTCCGTACACACACACACACACACACACACACACACACACACACACACACAGGCCATTTAGTTATCTGGAAAGCTCCATCCTGAGAGACCAGAGTCTCAGGCCTGGCTTTGCTCCTTAAATACTGAAAAGGGAGCCGACTGTGGAATTCAGGGAAGTGATGACACACACAACAATGCTGTCACACCTGGCTGCTGCTGCGTGAGCAGCGGAAACAGGGAGGAGGGTACGAGAGCCAGCTTGGGTGGTCAAAAAAAAAATAGAGAAGGGAGAGAGCAGTCCCCACCAGAATCGGGCCAGATCCAGCTGTTTCATTCCTTCTCAGGCCCTTCTGAGAGCCTTTCAGCAGCAGACCCAACCTGAATCATCACTCCTGCCCAGAGCCTGGGCACAGCTGACGTAAGGAAGAAAAACACCTGTACTCCTGCCCCCGGAAAACAGACACAAACATTTCGAAGAAGTGCTGTTTGCCACATGTGTATTACAGAACTGAGAGCTAGACCAGAAAAACATGCAAGCCACTTTAGGACGTTTTCAGTAAGGGCTGGAAGTGGGTATCTTGTCAGGAATTAAGGAGAATCTAGCTCCCTCTCACCCTGCTGACCTCTCCAGAGCCATCTTCAAGATGCTGAATTTCAGAAAGCCCCGCCACCCTTTATCTAAGTATGCAGACTGAGGCATGAGAAGACAGCATACAGCACAGGTAGATGGCCCTGTGGATGCTGGAGCTGCTGGCCACTGTAGGCTCCTGGGGCTTCTGGAGAACTCTCAGGAGTCAAGCAGCCTGGGAGAAAGAGAGATAGAGAGGCGCTGGGCTAACCATGTCAATCACGGACACACATCTGCAGGGCATTTGTTCAGAACACCTTCTACCACAAAGTGTCCTGGCACTCTCCTCAGCATCCAGGAGCTTGGGGTTTAGGATTCTGAAACACCAGCCTCTCTCACACTCCAAGCCTGCAGACTTGTGTTAAGGTTGAGTTAAATGGCACACCTGATGTTGATGCTGGCACAGATTTCCTGAGTCCGTTACTGTGCTTGTTGGTGTAACTGTATCCCCAGCAGACTTTTGTTGAAGATCTGTGAGAACACATCCCAAAACCTTTGGAGAGAGAAGATCAAAACTGTTGTCCATCGTGAGGTGATACATGTCTCCCCACATTGTTTTTCTTTCAAGTCTCTGACAGATTCACCTACACAAGGAGGGAAGAATTGTGAAAGAAAAAGAGAAAAGGGAAAAGAAGAGAGGAGAGAAATGCTATATCCCTACACCACGCTTACTCTGATAATCCATATGTGCCGTTTCATATTTGCGAGTAAAAATGCGTTATGCCTTGTAAATATAACTCTCACACCCTATGCATATTGCAGTACCTGTGATCTGAACGGCACATCTGAACTTGGACAGTTGGGATTTGATGCACATTCAAGGACAAACCCTCCTCATGTCTTCTACATGTGACTTCTCTGCACACACATACACAGTCCCCAAAGCCCAACGGCAACATTCTCATCGGTGTCCAAGCAGGACAAACGGGGCAGCTACTTGGTGTTAAAACACACGCTCAATAAGTGAAATTGCCAGGCGGATTCGAAAGATTCTGGACCCGGCGCGCAGAGAAGGGTCGAGTTCATTCAAGAGATTCAAGCGGTGCCCCTGGGCGCCTCTTCCCAGCGATTCCCCGTCCTACTCCAGTCGGGCCCAGTCACTCCCAGAGCTCCTGGGACAGAGCCGGCCGAGGTTTCTGCCTTCAGTGACCCGCGTTTTGGGCCGGTTTCCCTCAAGCCGCCGGACAGCTCTACCACTCCACCCCAACCCGGCCCCCTCTCTGTCTCGCCCCTCCCCAAGCCCCAGCAAAACCCAAAGGACTGAACGAAGGAATTTTCTTTCACCTGAAAGCTGCGAGGACGCTTGGAGCGCCTCTCCTCGCTGGGCACTGAGCTCCTAGGGCTCTGGCCGGGTGCAGGCAGCCCGACCTGGGCCTTCGGCATCTCCAGGCCCAGTCCGCGAAGTGAGCATCATCAGATTTCAAGGGCTCGAGAGAGCATGAGCCGGGCTTTCCGGTGGGCCCCTAAGACTCCGGGAGTCCGGGCAGGGCGGTCCAGGCTGTGCCGAGCTTTAACAAAAAAAAGAAAAGAAAAAATGACTTGGAGATGAACTCGCCGGTGCGCGGCTGGCTGTCCGGCTATAGGGGCGAAGGCCCCTGACGCAAGCGGAACTCGGCGGAGCCCATACGAATCAGAACACAGCGAGGCTCCTGGCGCGCTGGGGACTCCAGCAGGCAGCTCCGCCGGGGACGCGGGTCGCTCCTCGGAAAAGCGGGAGGTGGGGGGGAGGGGAGGGCGCAGTAGAGAAAACCCACCGAGGCGGGGACTGGCCTGGGCGGGGAGGGGCGGCGGGCCCGGAGTCCCTCGCTGTTGGGCAGACTCCGGATGGCCAGAGCCTGAGCTCCACTCCCGCCGGCCGCTCCCCCGGGGGGGGGGGGGGAGAAAGAAGAACGAGCGCAGTGCGAGGCCTCTGAGCAAGCAAGCACCGGCAGCATCCGCAATCTGCGCAAGTTGGAGACTCCGCCGGAACGGACCCCGGCACCCGACCAGACCCCAAGCCCAGCCTGCGCCTGGGGAGCAGAGCCGGGCCCGCTCGGGCCGCGCGCCGTCCTGGCCATGATGGCCAGCTACCCCGAGCCCGAGGACGCCACCGGGACCCTGCTGGCCCCGGACAGCGGCCGCGCACTCAAGGAGCCCGAGGCGCCACCTCCGAGCCCGGGCAAGGGCGGCGGGACCGCGCCTGAGAAACCCGACCCCGCGCAGAAGCCCCCTTACTCGTACGTGGCGCTCATAGCCATGGCGATCCGCGAGAGCGCGGAGAAGAGGCTCACGCTGTCTGGCATCTACCAGTACATCATCGCCAAGTTCCCGTTCTACGAGAAGAACAAGAAGGGCTGGCAGAACAGCATCCGCCACAACCTCAGCCTCAACGAATGCTTCATCAAGGTGCCGCGCGAGGGCGGCGGCGAGCGCAAGGGCAACTACTGGACGCTGGACCCGGCCTGCGAGGACATGTTCGAGAAGGGCAACTACAGGCGGCGGCGCCGCATGAAGCGGCCCTTCCGGCCGCCGCCAGCGCACTTCCAGCCCGGCAAGGGGCTCTTCGGAACTGCGGGCACCGCGGGCGGCTGCGGCGTGGCGGGCGCGGGGGCCGACGGCTACGGCTACCTGGCGCCCCCCAAGTACCTGCAGTCGGGGTTCCTCAACAACTCCTGGCCGCTCCCGCAGCCGCCCTCTCCCATGCCCTACGCCTCTTGCCAGATGGCGGCGGCCGCCGCGGCTGCTGCTGCGGCAGCTGCGGCCGCCAGTCCGGGCAACCCCGGTGCGGCCGCCGTTGTCAAAGGGTTGGCGAGCCCCGCCGCCTCCTATGGGCCGTACTCCCGCGTGCAGAGCATGGCGCTGCCGCCGGCCGTGGTGAACTCCTACAACGGCCTGGGAGGCCCTCCGGCCGCGCCCCCGCCGCCGCCGCACCCACACCCGCATCCTCACGCACACCATCTGCACGCGGCCGCCGCACCCCCCCCCCCCCCCGCCACACCACGGGGCTGCCGCTCCACCCCCGGGCCAGCTCAGCCCCGCCAGCCCGGCCACCGCCGCGCCCCCGGCACCAGCGCCCACCGGCGCGCCCGGCCTGCAGTTCGCCTGCGCCCGGCAACCCGAGCTCGCCATGATGCATTGCTCCTACTGGGACCACGACAGTAAGACCGGCGCGCTGCACTCGCGCCTGGATCTCTGAGCACCGCGTGCAGGCGCCAACCCATGCGAGGATGCAAGGACGCACCGTGCAGGCTCCGGTCTCAGCCCAGCCGCCAGCCGGACAGCGCGCACCGGGACACCCCGGGCCAGCACCCACCTCCCTTCTGCGCCCGCTCGCTTTCCCGGCTCCTCCGGTCCCCTTCACCTCCCCTCGGATGCTCTTCTCCCAGCCCTCTCTCTACGCCCGTGGCGCTCGCCCGGCCCGCGGCCGCCTCTCCCTCCGAGCGCTTTCTGCAGGCCTCTTCTTCCCGAGCCCCAGAATCCTGGCTGGACACCCCAGGCCAAAATTCACCTCCAGAGCGTGTCCGGGGCCGGCCGAGGTGCAGCAGAGAGCCGGCGGCCTGATCTCCTGCCTTCTCCTCCGGGTCTGTGGGCTCGCGCTCGACTTTCTAGCACCGCTGCCGCCCTGTCCTTGGCTAGAAGCGCTGGGCCAGCAGGCTAACAGGACCCGAGAGGCGGGAGAAAGGAACGAACGTGTCTGACAGCGCGATCCCTCCTGGAACTGCGCAAAAGTCCGGCCATCCATCGCTGGGGTTGAGCCGCAAGCGAGCCGCGACAGCCTCCTCCGCGGCCTGCCCGGGGGTTTACTCCACGTCCCGGCGCCCAGGGAAGCTGCGTTTCCTCCGCTCAGCACCGCACCGCCCCCGGCACCTCCAGGCCCCCGGCAGCTGGCTAAGATCTTGCTAAAAAAAAAAAAAAAAAAAAAAAAAAAAAAAATAATGGAAGTAAAACCTCACTAGCAACACATTCTGCACCAGAAGTTAGTAACGAGCAATCCAGCTCTGGCGTGGTGTCTCCCCAGGGATTAGAGTTCAGCCTGTCACCTCTGGACCCTGGGTTGCTGGGGCAGGTACTCAAAAATGTTAAAAAAATACTTTTTAAGGGAAAAACAATGAAAACGTTTAGCAGAAAAACCGGTTACGTGTTCCGGCCTTGGAGTTTGCTAAAACCAAACATGAAAATCAAAAGCTTTAGTGCGTCTCTTCTTTTTTTTCTGGAAGATTTGTGTAGAATTCTGGTGGCGACTTCAGAGAGCTGTGTTCAGAGGTAGGAGAAAATAACCGACAAAAGGAAGTTTTGTCCACAAATCCGGAGAGGTTTTCTCTCTCTTTATTTGAAAAACATATTCGAAATAAAATTTCCCGGGTTTTCCGATTCAAGGCCCCATGCCTGGAGATCGGGAGCTCGCTGCCGAGCAGGCATACATTTCGGGGATGGCTCTCCCCTCCCTGGTTTTTTGTTTTTCAATCCGTCTTGCTTCTCCCTTCTGGAGAAGGAGAAAGATGACACCCTGCAGAGGCAGGCCCAAACCGGCTATTGACCCCCAACCTGGTTGTTGTGTAATGTCTTTAGGGGACCAAATTTTCTAGCGAGAACTAGAGCACTTTTGTTGTATTTGTATGTGTGTGTGCGTGCCTTGTCAATTCCCAAATAAATTGTTTGTTTGTTTTTTTTCTTTTAACACGGACTTACATTATTTCTTTTGCGCCTTAGTTCAACAATTAATTAAGAGGGAGCTTTTCAGCAAAAATTGTCGTTATTTAAACTCTTGCCTAAACAAGAGCTGAGGGCAGTCAGGGTGGCTGGAGTTCAGTGCTGCCGCTCGCGTTTTTCCTTTGCTGGAGATGGTTTTCTGTCATAGCTAGTCTGTTGCGGCTGTAATCAGCCCCGCTCGTTGCCTAGGGACTGTGTAGTCATGACTTGTATTTTACACTCGTGTAAGTTTATATCTTGCCTCTTACACAACCGTACTAGGTCCATGCACTGTTTTCATTAGTATCCTCATACTTTTAAGTTTCTTGTGAGTCAAATGTATAACAGCCGGAAGAGTTGTTGGGTTTTTTTTTTTCTCATATATAAAATTCCAATTTCGGAAATACACTAGAAGCTGCAAACTTCTTTGCAAGTGTAATAAGTGATGCATTTCGTTGTTGCTTTAAGAGCCAGAATTCATTTACCTTGAGCTACGATAAGAAATTTGATTTTCAGGAGTTTGAATGTACTATATGGCTACATAAATGATTATTTGCTTTCTTTCTATATGCTGAAACCATATAACGAATTAAGATCCATGCTTCTGCAAAGACACACGGTGTTTGACAGCGTTTCCGCCTAAATTTCTGACTTGAGGTGGTTGGCTTTCTATTTGCGGTTGGGATGACAAATACCCGTGGGTCTCTTACAGAGGCTGGGCTTGGATGTAACGGGCTAAAGCCCCAGCTCAGACATGCACCCTTCATCAACTTTTCTCTCCGCCTGGATAGGAGTGGAAGCGGTTCAGAGAAGTGCGGTGAGTGCGGCGCTGAGCTAAAGGCTCTTCCCTCAATGGACTGTAGGTCTGACCATAGTCTCCGTGGTATCCTGGTTGTGTATTGGGATCCAGGGAAAGTGGCTACCATTCAGGGCACCCTCTCCTCAGGCAGGTATCTCAAGAGGAGGCTGCAAGGTAATCTAGGAAGCACTGTGGACTCTCAAAGATAGAGACTGGAAGCCTGTCCAGACACTGGGAATCTGCTGAAAAGAGAAGCTCTGTTGCGGAGAGCAGCAGGAGAGGCTGGTCAGACCTGGTGTTCAGGTGCTTCTGGGGGCACGGAGCTCCACTGTCTCACTAAGGGGAGTTGCAGAAAGACAGCATGCTGTTTGTGCTTGTCTATGTTTTCTGTGATGTGAACATAAATCCTGAGGACAGCTGTGTGGTTGCTAATGTGTTTATAGTGTCAGTTGTGTGTCTGGTGATAGGGTGGGCAGTGTGTGTTTGTCATTCACCTGCAGACAGGGCATATATTTGGGGCATTGTAACAGTCATGTGGCTAACATCTAGAGCATGCTTACTGGAACCACAGCATGTGTTGCATTCATACCTCACGCTGATATGTGCAGTTGTGTTCCTGGTGTGTATTTCTGGCTTGGTGAATGATAACAAAATATATACAGACTTTACTTCATCTGGCAGAGGCTCCCTGTTCTGGGGCTAGCTGTCAGCACCCTTTCAAAGTGCTGTCCTGAGTAGAAAACAGGGAAGCATAGATTCCCAGGCAGGGCTCTTGGTGGGCAGGTAGGAGCACAACTCCAGTGAAATGGGGAAGCTGGGTTAGGCCAGCACTAGGGAATGGAGCCTCTCTCTGCATCTGAGAACTGAAAAACAAGAGGCACCCAAGGCCGACAAGGTTTTGTCAAGTAAAGAAAATGAGATGAAGGAATTTCTAGGAGAGTTTACACAGAGGTGAGAGAAGGTAAGAGAAGGGAACCACTTCCCCATAGATACCTCCAGAAAGACATCTGTCTCTAATTCCAGCCCTAAGGGGTTCTCCAAAGCTCAAAGTTTGGTCATTTTTCCCCCAGTTGGGGACAATGGCAGACCTTGTCTCAAATTTCCTTTCTTTTCTCTCCCTCTTTGCACTTTTGAGTTTCTGTTAAAGAAGCTGATTCAAGACAGTTTCCTAAGCAAAAGCAAAAGTATTGAAGAGAGTTCCTGACACAGAGTAATTATGCCTTAGCTTATAGCCAGGCTTAGATGGCCACCAGCCCATGTGGGTGTGTGTATATGTTTGCAGTGTGTTCTATCAATGCAACATAAATAAGAGTTTGATGCAAATATCCTGACAGTTTCTAAAGGCCCTGGGTAATGAGTTACTAAACATGGTATTGAATGGTGTGTGTGTGTAAAGGACCTCACACGCTGACAGGGTGAGACCTTTCCTTGCTTTTACATACAAATTCTTACAGATGCCTTTGCTTTCCCTAAAGCCCAAAGTAAGTGGGATAGAGAACGGATGGCCAGTTCTCAAATGGAACTAGGGAGAAGTCTTTATCAATGTAGTACATATACTAAGGAACTTTGGGAAGGGGACCTAGGGAGTTGTTAGGAAAATCCTACATCTCTCTCCAGTAAGAGAGGGGGTCCCTTGATGGTATCAGTGAGGAGTTCTCAGTTCCATGCTCCAAATTTGATGGATAAGAGCCTAGGCCTTTCACCTGGAGTCAGGGGCAAATGCCTCTGTGCTGTGTTTTTGGAGCCAAGATTACAAAACTGACTGTGTGGAGCCCCCTGGTGGTGGGTAGAAATCCGGGGCAGATCCAGGCCAAGTGCAACCAAGCATAAGATAAGCCTGGAAAGTACCTTGGATTGAGCTCTTCCCTTGATGAAGGCCTGGAGCTTTCCAACTACTGGGCCAAATTCCTGACTTCCAGAAAGGGGTCCCAAGGCCAGGAAGTAACGTGGTCAAGCTTAAGATTCCCAAAGTGTCTTTTACTCTACTTAACTAGCTCAGTGGTAACCATGTCCTGTTGGATCTGCCATCACTGTGTGGCAGCCCCTATTCCTTAGAGTAGCCCATGGGACCTATAGGAAGGGTTGGAACCAGGAGCAGGATCTTTTCTCCTGTGTGATAGGGACCAGGGGCAAGGAGCTGACAGGAGCAATATTTATGCCCTCAGTTCGGCTTTAAGGATTCTTCAAACTAAGTGGACAAAGAGGATTCAAGACTGTACAAAAAGTGTCTGGGTCCCAGAAATCCAAACTGACACATTTGAGGATTGGAAGATCTGACAAATGAAGGGGCCAGCCAGCCTATTAGAAATTCTAATAGGAGTCCTAAGAAGAGGTAAGACTGCCACTTGGCTCTGTGAGTCACACAGGTCCTGCCACCAGGATGAAGGAAGCAAAGGCCCCTGGATGAGAGCTTAGAGAAGACTACACAGCAGGAACTGCTGTTTGTGGCCCAAGCTCTGACTTGAGATGAGCTGTGACATGCTTGTTCTGAGTCTATGTCACCCCACAGGAATGACTTGTGCAGGATGACACAGATAGGGGCCTGTGGACTAGGAAGAACTCATAGGGAAGGCAGGTGTTCCCCTGTAATAACTATAACCTTGACAAAATACTGATTTCCATCTTCTCACCTTTAAAACAGAAACAATGGCTTATAGCTTAGTGTTATTACAATTATTACCAGTATTATAGTTCGAAGTGCCTAGTTTGTTATAGTTGTTGAATAAGTTTCCTA